ACTGCGTCTCAGTCACCTTGGCCTTTTTTAACTCACTTTCAGCTCTCTCTGCACGGCGCACCAAATCCCGAATACGCCTGTCCTTCTGCTCGATTTCTCTTTACGTCACTCACAGGCGCATGCCGACTTCATACGGGCTGTAAAGTTCTCAGATTGCCCCATGAATACCATCCCTAAAAACCTCATAATCGCCCCGGCCGATAAGTGATTGTTGTACTTCTGGTGGGAGTATTTGCCACGTAAATTCCACCACCACGTTAGGATCACGGACTATTAGTCTGTTTCGGTCATCGGTTTGTTCCTAATAAAGACCGAAAAGCTCAGCGGGCGCGGTGGTCTGTTCGGCTCATTTCGCGCAGTGGCATGCCCATTCGCAGTCTTTGAGCCCCCTCGTTGTTGCGCCCGATTTCTAGGGAACTTTGCTACTTCACCTCTTTTGGGGGACCTACTTCGACGTCTGGGCGACCGACGTCTCTCTCTCTCCTCCGCTGTTACGTTTTCTGTTCTCTGAGCTTCGCTCCCAATAACACGATACATTTTCACGTCCAGCTCCGCTAAACTCCTTCATTCTCCTTTACTATTGAAAAATAATCTCTCAGACATATATGGTCCCGCTTACGACCACCGTCGACACTCAAGTCTCTTTTCACTCTTAAATTATCGATTACCCTTTTTGTCTTCTGTGCCAGATCTATTTCACGACGCCTGAGACCTCCTAAATACTAGGTACCTTGTTCATTAATTACGGATGCACCGTTTCCGATGCGCCCCATAGCTAACCTTGCGTTGGTATGCCGTTTGCTCCAATTGGTCAGACGAGCTCAGCGTTGGGCCATATGTTTTAGTTGGCGCTGGCACGACGTGCCCAACTGGGGCAAGGCTAGATATATGAATCTATTCAGCCATATATTTTAGTGCCGAATTACTCCACACTACCCCACTTGGCCAGACAAGCTTAGCGTTGGGCCATATGTTTTAGTCGGCGCTGGCACAACGTGTCCAACTGGGGCAATGACAGATATATGAATTTATTCGGCCATATATGTTATTGCCGAATTACGCTACACTGACCCATTTGGCCAGACAAGCTTAGTGTTAAGCCATATGTTTTAGTCGGCGCTGGCACGACGTGTCCAATTGGGGCAAAGGCAAATATATGAATCTATTCAACCATATATGTTAGTGCTGAATTACGCTACACTACCCCACTTGGCCAGACGAGCTTAGCGTTGGGCCATATGTTTTAGTCGGCGCTGGCACGACGTGTCCAACTGGGGCAAGGGTAGATATATGAATTTATTCAGCCATATATGTTAGTGCCGAATTACGCTACACTGACCCACTTGGCCAAACAAGCTTAGCGTTGGGCCATATGTTTTAGTCGGCGTTGGCACGACGTGTCCAATTGGGGCAAAGGCATATATGTGAATCTATTCGGCCATATATGTTAGTGTCGAATTATGTTACATTGCCCCACTTGGTTAGACAAGCTTACCGTTGGGCCATATGTTTTAGTTGGCCCTGGCACGACGTGTCCAATTAGGGTAAGGGCAGATATATAAATCTATTCGGCCACTAATTTTTGTTAACAAATACATAACAAAGTTTTATTGCTTTCTTGAAAAGACAAACAGACTATTTTCATTAATAAACTAAGTGCATATAATCGTTACTTTATATATGAAAACTACCCTACAAATGATCTCTAAACAAAATGAGTAAACCTTCAAAAGATACATAGGATACCTAACATCAAGCAAAATTAAACTAACACAAACCCAAACACAATATTTATTCTTCAGGGTAAGACTTAAATGGCTCAACCTCCAGTTGCTCATATGGAATCGGCTGCTTCAATGTCACATCGGCGGCCGCCAGGGCTTTAAGCCAGCCATGCTTAAAGCCTCAGTTCTTGAATTTCAATACCTCTTCCACGTACTAATCTATGGCCGCGTTTTCACTAACATCAAACGCCTTGGAAATCTCTTACTCGGCGAGCTCTTTCGCCTTCTTTGATTCTTCCAAATTGGCCCCTAGTTTCTCGATCGCCTCTTTGGCCAACTTTAGTGCATCGTCATTCATATTCGCCCTTTCTTCGACGGCCACCCGGAGTAAATCGGCGCGTCTAGCCTTTTCCTCTTCAGCTTTGGCCTTTACGCGCTCCTCTTTCTCTTTTTTGGCCTCCGACTCGGCTCTAAGAGACACCACCGCCAACTCGGCTAGCGCCTCTTTAGCCTTGCCCTTTACGGTCTAAATCTCAGCTTTAAGTACGTCGATTTGCTCGACGGCGTCATAGTGACGGTAGTCGATTTCTGCGATTCTGCCCGCCGCCTGAAACAAGACAAGGGCACGATTAGTCGTCATATAAAAGAAATTGGAAGTGAGAATTTCCCAGTTACATACCAATATCGCCGACTGTGCAGCTAATGCTATTGAAACCATGTCCGGTTTAGCACAGAACACAGCCTTGTCCATCGGCAAGGAAATTGTCGAAGCCACACTTAAGGCCACGGCGGGATCTTTAATAACCGACGCATCGGCAGAAATCGGCGCATTCTTCATCCTAGGTTAGACAATAAACAACGCCACCAGATCTTGGGACAACTTTTCTATTCGAGGCCATTTATTGGTTATCTCTTCGGATGACTCGGCCTCCATCTCGGCGGGGTGTTTCTCTTCCGTTTGTTTAGTGCCTAAATCATTCGATCGTATTTCAACAACCAAGTTAGCCGTAACAGTTTCTCGCTCCGCGTCCTTAACAGAAACAGACGGTGGGGATAGGGATCCAACGCTTTCGACCCTCCTTCTGGCTGCCATCTTTTTGGCATTTTTCCTTCTAGCCATTTGTGCGAGCGATTCTCCAACCATGTTCTCAGGGTATACGCCGGGTAAGTCTCCCAAGTCGGTGAAAATGTCGCCCTCTAAAGGAGATGTTTCTATTCGGCCTGAGGTGGATGAGAGGTCAAAGCTGACTTCTTTAATGGCTAAATTAAGAGCTCTATCAACTTTCTCCCCCAAGCGACCCTCAGACCCATCTGAGTTAGATTGGCTTGGCTGCTTAGCGACTCGATCACCGACTTCACCGCCTTGGTCCTCTGAGGCTGAACCCTCAAGGCCGATATCCCTAAGGCTCTTCAAGTTTGAGAAGATGAGTGCCATGAGATGCTGCTCGCCTCTTGGAATTGGGATGTGATCAGTAGCTGAAAAAGTTGAATATGTTGGGTCGTATCGCAGTAACACGTGGACGGCCCGCCCTTGCTTTTGAAGGTTTGGACAATCGAAGAATTCGAGTACGGTTTTGACTTGCGCAAGCACAACGTCGTTGGTCGAAGTGTGTGCTTTTTTCAGATCGTTACTTGCACAAACAAAAAGATAAATACATGGAATCCAAGCCGCATAAATCTGGAATCCAACCCGAATAAATCTACAGAAATGCACAAACGAAAGAGAAATGGGTTTGTATGGCCACCTGTCTCGCCTTTTTGTTTAAGCACAAGGTCCAGGCGATCTTCACCTTCGACGAATTCCCAGTTACCTTGGACAACGACCATGACGTCGTTGATACGCTTACCAGAGCTGGCAAGCATAGTCACCAAATGGTGATCTGTGTCCTTAGCCCTGAGAAAGTAAGGTCCCTACCGACCGGATGATTTTGCTAAGGCATAGCAATACCGAATAGCAAGGATTCCTAGGTTGAGTCTAAGTCGGCGATTTAATTCTATTACGCCCATTATAATTCAGTAAAAATTTACGTTTGGTTGTAAAGGGAGTAGACCCCAATAGCGAAGAACGACCCTAAAAAACGGACTCCGCCCTCAGTGATTGACAGCAGAAGAAAGATGATCGTACTCGCATCAGTCCTCTTCATGTCAACTACACTATCTGCCACGAGTGACAAATGGACATTGTCTAAAATTGAGAAATGGCTATGAAAGGCGGAAACACGGTCCGCAGAAAGGAAAGTCTTCAAGTGTTTCGCCATTCAAAACGGAATAGAAAATATGCTAACTAAAAACGAACAAAAAAATGGGAGCTAGAATGAGGAAGAAATGTAAAGAAGAGAAGAACTTATAGGTCAGAGAGAGAAGGGCAATGAGGAGTAGGCGAAAATCGCAGAGGTCTTGGAAAAGTAAGAAATAATACTGTGAGACAACCCAAGAGCCTTGCACATTCAAAAAACATTTGAAGAGACAGCGCAATTTCAAATCGCATTAAATGAACAACACATACGAAGAGGCGGGAAGTTGTAATGATTTCTAATCGTGTTCATTTTGACGCTTCGGTATTGAAAGAAGTGTAAGCGCCATATTTTTGCCTTTCGATACGCAAACCAAACATGCCGACTGAATAGTATTAGTCGGATGTTCGAGGGGCAATTGTGGAGGCTAAATTTAATCAATGAGGTAGAAAAAGGCCAAGCAGGCCAGTTGGGATATTGGGCCGAAGACAAGTCGGCCCTACCCGGAAGTCCATGAAGCCGCGTATACGAATCGGCCATATAAAAAGCCAAATGGGAGCCAACACACTCAGTTGGAAGGTCAACTAGATAATTATATGAAAGGTCAACAGTGGGCCCAACCCTAAGCCCAGGCGTAATATAAAAAGGAAGAACATCAGCCAAAAGAGAGGTATGTAAGAAAAGAACGATAACTTGTGATACAAGAAAGATTTGAGAAAAAATTAACTTGCTCGTCAGAATGCTAATTCTCACACCCCCGACCGAAGTATTCATTTCTATTTCAAGTATCAACTCGAGAATCAAGAGCATCTAGTTAGATTATAAAAAGTATTACCAAACCACTTCACCACAAACTTCATTCAATCACATTGGCTTACATGCATTTAAAAACATGAGAATTTTGTTTAAAAGTCGTCTCTAAACAAATATCTTTGTCACTAAACCTTTTTGTTTATTTTTTATTTTTTATTTTTGGATCCATATCTTTTGTACTCAACTTACAATCCAGTTTATTGGCTTAAAATAATAGAAAAATTAACCATACCAGAAGATAGGAGTGATTCATTAATATTCTGTAACCTCAAATAAATTAACAAAATTGTTGTATGAAAGGGCAGAGTAATTCTGCATCTAGATCCATATATCGATGATCAATTTGAAATAACTGTGGAATAAAAATACATTTATTAGACATTGAAACAACAGAAGTAAAAAATATAACAATAATGGGTAACATATCAAACTTCCTACAGTGCATGAAGCAAGGCCCAACTCCAACTCCTACATTACTGGAACAGTTCTCACAGCATTTTTCCTCGAATTACAGAAAGAATGGAGGTGATCGTCGTCAAACGTGCCAAAACCTGAGAGTTGGATTCCGTATGCTTGCATCCTCTTGACATCCCGTGGAGTTGGAGATTGCCAAAGCCCATCCCACCAAGCAGGAGGGAGAATCGGGGTGAAAGCACATTGAGTAGACTGGTTGTGACAGCTTAAAGGACCTGCAAATCTGTTCCATACATGTCCCCAACCAATTTGAATCCCCAAACCTTCTGAAACCAAATTACTCTGGAAGCTGCTCATGAACAAAAATCTTGAATCCTCCACTAAAATTGAAAAAAGAAAAAATATTAAAAAACAGAGGAAGCATTTCTCTAGATGGAACAAGCAGGGATTAAAGGCAGAAAGAGAGTACCAGGTTTGTGTGCCATGGCCAGTGCTGCGATTAGTTGAGCGTAGGTTGTTCCAACTCGCCTGTGAGCCCCAGAAACAATAGCGTGTTTTGCACGTGATGCAAGAAAGAAGTCAACAAATGCAACCCATCTAGGTGCTGGGCCCCAATCCTTAACTCTAAAATCTAAACTACCCAATCCATTATTGCCAGAAATATTTCCTTTGAAGCGTTCATAATCAAAATGAAGAACCTGGATAAACCATAACCATATTAGAAGCACTTATAGGTGAAACAAATGAAGAAAGTGAAATCCTGCTAAATTTTGGAATTTAAATAACAAACAAGGAAATTATCTTTGGGGCCAAAGGTCGGTCTGCTTGAAAATATGATAATAAAAAATTACCTCTGCAAATTCATTTATATATGGAGCAACCTCATTTATTAAAGTGGGGCTATCTGAAACCAAAACCACCTTGGGTCTGGATTTCAGTTGCAGATTGTCCATGGCTTTTCTGATGCAATTCAATGCTGCCTGTACTGCTCTCAGAGACCTGAAACAACAAAAGTAATAGCCAGCCTTATTAATTATATCCCTCGATGAACAAAGTAATATGTTTAGTAGCATACCTATTCATAAGCATCCGCATGTGCAATGTAATATCGGGATCCACCCCGTCACCGAGAACCCAATTCACTGCCTCTTTAACATTTTCTGAGGGAGATATGAGAACTCTCATCAGCTCCCCAAATACGTTAGGCCTATATTGAAGATTTTCAGGCCGCCCAAATAGATCATATACTTTTCTCAATTTCCTCATCTCAGAATAAACATTTTTCAAGAAAAATTGAGCTGCCACAGCATCTGTCGTGTTTTGGATCCTGCCATGGTAGGGTTAGTGCCTATTTGATGATTTTTTAAACAAGTACTAGCAGATGATTACTTTTAGATGTTCTCAGTTTACCAAATTATAGGTTGCTCCCACTCCCTCCAGTTGCTGCAGAGGACACTTGTCTTGGCTGGCTTTTGGAAATCGTCAATCCTCATTACAAGCCGCCTTCCATATTTAGTCAAACAATCATTCTGTCTCCATAGATGCTTCACTTCATTCAAGGTAAAGGCAACATCACTATAAGAAATGTAATCCCCAAAAGGATATATCCCCCTGAAATATTTTCAATAAAGTAATAATTAGCACCAATGAAAGCATCTTTTTGACAGTATTTTCCATTATAATTTTAACATCTGGCCTACTTTATGGTAATATCCAGAACAAAATTAGGACAACACACAGAAACAAGAGCAACTTCTATCAGGGTACGGGTACACTATCACACTTCACAGTTTCACGCTGTATGAAACCAACATACATCTAGGTGCCTGTCATTAACCATGATATGGTATACTATAATTTCATAAACCAAAACAATAGGTATATCAAATATAAATAGAAAGGCTTGAGAGATAACCAATATGCCTCTTTTGCCCAATTATCAGCGACCGATTCAACATTATACTTAATGCTCCCGCAGTTAAGATCTTGTACATCTCATTCCCAAAACCCGCTTCTGATGCTTTCCCTATAACAAAATTATGTCTGCAGAACTGCTCTGGAGGAAGGCCTCGGACTCTAGAAGCACCTGAAATGAGAATCAGTAGTGTGAGCTCCTGAAATGGATCTCTCTATGCAAGTGTGATACTAGAACCTTTTGCTTGTGAATGAAAAGTGGTTAAGCCTATTCTTCCCCCTCCCTCCCTCTTTCTCTCTCCTCTGTGCAGAGTGAATGTCAGATTATGCATAATTTACTCTCCAATGCTAGTCTGTTTCTTATCACTCTTCTTCCATATAAAAACAAAATTTTCAATTTTCATTTCCTTCTCTTTCCAGAGAATAGCTATTATTTCCAATAGGTTCAGCATGTATGCACTGTTTTATCTTTGACAATGAAAAGGCAGAGCTGAGTGCTCCTTTCCATAGTTTATCTTTGGCATGGACTTGAATAGCAATGGGTTTAAAGTAGTGGGGGGTGGAACCTCAGAAAGGATTGAACTTAAAACTTATGACATATCTACGGGGAGGGTAATGGTTGTGAGGATTGGTCTGCTGCTTTGAACTTGAAACATAGGGTCTGGTTATATATTCCTTGCCAGCTTCAGGGAACAAGTTCTCTCTTGGAGATGGATGGCACAGCTAAAGGGAGGGCAAAGGTGTTGATATCAAAGAAAAAATGAGCAGCTTGTCTAAAAGTGATTAATCCTCCAACAGCACTAATATGTAAAGGTGTTGATACTTGTCTTGCCATAATCAAAAGCAAAGTCATTGAAGGTCCTTCCAACTGAAGGGAAGACAGCAAAAGAAAGTTGAAGGAAAAATTTAATAACTTGAAGTTAGCTCACGCAAAAGCTTGCTCATCTCGCTCTTACCAAGTCAAGCCAGGAGGAAGCAGCACTGTCACCTAGCCCCCCACCCCCGCGCGGGTTAGTTTGCTTATTACCTAGGTTATCAGGTTGTGAGAGTTTCCTTTCTTTCATAGAGTCTAGGTTTGTTGGTTTTTAGTTGTTGCCTCTTAGAGCTAGAGGCTTTAAACGCTTTCCCTTTAAAGCTTTGTTTGACACTTAAGGCTTGCATTGAGCTCCATTGTATATCTTTTCTTTCTTTTTTTTTGGTAATGAAATGCTCGCTTGAAAACAAAAAAAAAAAAACTAGATTGATTCTTCAGTAGCTGGGCGTAAGCCCCTGCTTAACCAAAGAAAATCACGCAATGCAATCAAGGCATATGTCACAATGGTTTATCTGGATCCCTCAACCTTTATTATTGAGACCCTTATAATTCCTCAGTCAACGGCCTCCATTATCGTGCTACTGTCATAAGTCATAATGCATCGGCTTAGCCCAAACTCTACAAGACTAAAAAGTAAAAACCAAGATTGGCGACTAATAAAAACTCTTCTAAACATCCCGCAATCTTTTATAGTTCACAAAACCTCCCTCACAAATACCCCACTCCGACCACCCAAAAGAGAACTTAAATGTCGCACAACATCAGATGTATACTTTTCTCAATCTTCAAATCCCCACCCCCCCCCCCCCCGCGGGGGTTGGCAATTATCACTTCCTATTGCATTGAAGACAATTATGTTAACAAATTTGAAATCAAGACAAATACCCAGATTCATGAACTAACAACTGCAGATCTAGATAGTAAAATTAATTGAGCAAGAAGAAGAAGAACAAGAGGGTTTACTTAGTACCATTCAGAGCAAAATGAAGATCAATTTTTCTTCTGACTTGGAGACTTTCCTCCCAAAACCCTCTGTTAAAGATTTCCCCCATTTCCTCCACCGTGGCGCATCCTTTGGTCCTCGAAAGCTGGGTCTTGGCAGTGAGACTTACATGAGCTCCTTCTGCAACTGGTCGGGTTTTCTGAATCGGGAATTCCTTGCCTGTAGATGGATCGACGGACCTGAGAGTGAGATTCAACAGGCCAACACCAGTAAAGAATGCACAAGCGATCAGGACGGCGTGGATCGACAAGAGTCGTCTCCTTCGTGATCCGACAAGCCTCATCTCATCTGAATTGATCGAAGAAGATGGATTGTAGTTAAGCAATTGTGGACAACCAATTGAGAATACAAAAGCAGGAAGTGGGATATGCGAGCGTGAAGCCTACAAACTTTCCGGGAATTGCTCACCTCACCGCGACTCTCCCTCTCGTTGGGACCTTTTTTAGCTAACCGCATCTTGATAGTTAAGATTCCATGTCGGTAGTTTTTTATTTTATTTTAGTCAAATTATTTTTCTATTTTTTTATATTACATTTTTTTTATTTTTTATTTTTGTAAAAAATTAAAACTTATTTCCAAACATACTTTAATGGATAAAATACTAAGAGGAAAATTTCCAGGAAAAAAAGCTTTTAGACCCTAAAAAACGTTTTATTATTAAATTTGTTTAAAAATATGTGGATTATTTACATATTAATTATTGATTGATTTTAAAATTTAATTGTTTGAGATCTTATATCATAAGGGTGAATTTATAAGATTTTTAACATTTCACATAAATGCCAAAAAAAAAATAAAAAAATTGAGATTATCCAATAATTGTGAAATAATGATAAATTCACATGGTTATTTTACAAGATGATGTTATATATGGACATCATTCTTTATTACAGTAGAGAGGAGACAATTTTATTTTTTATTTTTTTGTCACACAGTATGATATAAAGATGTTAATAAAATCAAATTATTATAGTAGACTGATATTATTTCATTCGACAATACTACGTAGCTCAAATTTTGTGGCTCAAATAGCCAAAACGACGTCGTTTTGAGTACAGAACAACATAAAAATGGCCAAAACGACGTCGTTTTGGCCATTTGAACCACTTTTGAGCCACAAAATTTGAGTTACGAGATATTTTCTTATTTCATTCACTCAAATCTAAATTCTCTCCAAACTAACACTTAAATCCATTTTCATAACTACTCACTTACCGTCAAGTCGATAATCTAGATCCTTAAAAAATAAAAAATAATTATAAAAATATAAGTGCCTCATATATATCACTATGTTTTTTCGTTACTTTTTTACCTTCCATCTATTTATCCTCCATACATTTTTTTTGGGGAGGCAAAAAAGAAAAAGAGTACATTCATTTATAAATTTAAATATTTAGTTTGTTTTTTTTTAGTATTTATGTTCTTAATATTTTAAATCTAACCTTATATGCACACACAACAAATTATTTTTTCTTGTTTACAACCACAAGACCATACTTTCAAAGTTCATAACCACCTCAACCAACCAAAAAAATAACTTTATAACCATCATCGATCCGCTTATAACATTTCAATGAACCTTCATATGTTTTATTTGATTTGTTTGTTTAACGTGTGTTTTGGTTATATATTTTTTAATTAATAGGGTGTTTTAAAGTTTAGAAGTGAATTTTAAGGAATGATTTGTGGCACTGTTCACCAAATAAGGTTTAAATGTTCGTAGAATTTTTCAATGTCACATTTGAATAATTGAATTTGTTGTGGAAAAGATTAAAGAGAAAAAATATATATATTTGATTCACATTTTTATTGTTTTTCTCCTACAAATTTAATTTATAATTTGAACACTCCATAATAACGGATGATAGAAGCCAAGGTAACAAAAATTTACAAAATGAGATTAAAATTTGTTCATAAACTAGTGATGGGTATCAAATCAATGCAAGATAACAAACAAAATCCCAATCAAAAAATACATGTAAACAGTGCAACACACCGCATATGGAGTGTGGTGCTTGCTACTCAAGGGTGCCTCAGCCCCAAAAAAGAAAAAAAAGTATGAATTCAACCCTTCTTACAATAATGACCAAATTAATTTCATTTATACAATAATGACAATGCGGTACTAATAACATGCATGGCTTGGACTATTGTTTCAATTTGGTCTCTGTAGTTGCCCTTTCCATGAACTTTTGCCTCTTCTGTTTCACTTCCATCAAATAAATCTACGAACACAAAAACCAGTCACATAATCGAATACAGAATGTAGTATATAGACATATAAAAATTTAAAAAATGGACCTCACTAACAAATTAAGTAAGATTTTGTCCATTCATTAATGTTTTGTATTTAATTCTATGATTGATTTTTATGCCTGTAGCAGAACTGATTGGTATCAAAATGCTACGTGCCCTTTGCATGGTTATGGTCTCCTCCTCCCCGTAGGCGTTGCATTCCCATCAAATAGCTCATCAATATGCGTCTCTATATCTTCGGGCTGGTATTTTATGTACTTTTCCGTTTGTCTTCCCGGAGTAAAATGCTGACTGAACCTTGCCAAGAATGACCGGTAAGCTGGTATCACCACCGCTGATATCGAAACTCTAAGCTCCGATTGAAGCTGCTCGTCGCTAACCACCCAAATGCTCTGCATCTTATGTATCTCATCGAACATGGTGTTGAAGCTCTTGAACTTCTCTTTCAACACCGGCTTCACCACCTTCCCATTCACATTCAATCCCTCATGGTTCAAGCAATTCAAAAGCCTACCCCATGTTTCGCGTTGGTATGTCTTGTGATAGTTCCTCAGATCCGACGATCTCTTCCTTGACCACGTGTCACCCATCAAGCTGTGTATCTCTGGGGACCCCTTGGTCTTCTGCAAAATGTACCTCCCATTGTTCATCATGAAAATCGAGCTCAACGAAGTGTCCTTGTAAAGCTTCGATTTCGTCTCCAGATTCGTATCAAGTAAATCCATCACTTTGCTTATCTGTTTCGCAAATGGCGATTGCTTTAAAGTCTCGTTGTTATTGTTGTTGCTGTTGTGATTGTTCCCGCCACGTGCAGCATTAGTGTTATCGTAGTCTGGTCCTGTGGTCGAGTCGGTCTGATCGATCTTTTGGTGCTCCCTGAAGACTTGCTCTAGGGTTTCCTTGAACTCGCATGCGTATTTTAGATAATTCAAGGTGTAGCGAGTTAGGGGATGAACCGCACCGCCAGGAACCGGAGTCTTTCCTATGTCTGCCTTGATCGAGTTCTCCAGTTCGCAGAAAATGCAAACCATTGCCTCACCAAGTCGGCAACGAGTCAACATTGCTTCAGATTTGAGCTCATTCGCAATTTCTCTAGGTAACAAATCACCCATGCTTGGAATCACATCACGTAGGCTCTCGTATATGTCGAGAAATTTGAACAACTTCTCTGACGAACGCTTTGTCATTGCGATTGCTTCGGCAAAATTGAGAAGTTGCATCATAATGCTTCGAGATAGGTTTCCAAAGATGACATCAGTGATCAATTTGTCGTCAGAGAAAACCGCCTCGGAAAGCTTACGTTCACCAGTGAAGTGCACGGTGACGAATTCCTTAACCGTTTTGTTCCAGGAATCGATCTCTCTCTCCAATGGCTCCCATTGCATCTTTTGAATGTCGTCGATGCTGAACTTCTCAAACCCTAGCTTATGCAAGGTCGCTTCCAATATAGTCCTTCTGGCTATAAAATAAACTTGAAAACACTCTGCCTCGTAGCCTCCCATTGCCATCAATTTGGCTAATCGATTCAGATTCAACATGACCTCCTCTGAGTATCCCGGAAAATTGCTGCTCTCAGCAGCAGAGTTAGACTCCTCAGGTGAGGGTTGATCTGCTTCTTGATTTGATGTTTTTGAGTCATTGTTTTGATCAGAAGAATCAGGAGCCTTTGAATCTTCGAGAAGTGATCTGAATTCGTCTTCCAAATACGACATTGCTCGTTGAAGAATACCGCCAATGCGATTGATCACCTCAGCATACTTGGAATCAGATGAGAATTTTCTGAGAATGTTCGTCAGCTTCGAGATTCGATCAACGGATTCGAAGAACAATGAAGAATCCGCCTCGGAAAGGTGACTCCATTTCATGGATCTCTCGCTTGGATCGTAATTTGCGATATTTGCCTCGACAAGAAATGCAAATTGGTCCATGACATGGGGTACATCCGGGGGATTAGATTCTTCATCATCACCGCTTTTGGCTCTTGACAAAGTAGAGATGAATTGATCAATCTCTTCGCAGACTTTATCAAAATCAGGAGGAGGGGGGGATTCTTCTTCAGTGGCCTCATCTTCTTTGTTATCCACCTCAGTTTTTTCTGAATTTGGGTCGTCTTCTTTGGGTGGTGGTTCAGAATCAGAGGGTGTGGAATCGTCAGTGCCTTTTTCTGGTTCGTGTTCTTGGTCAGGGTCGGGTCTGGACTTAGGATCGTGATCGTGATCGTGCTCGGAGTCGGATTGTTTGGAGTCTTTGGAGGCAAAGCTAGAGGATTTTTCAGTAAGGTGTTTGTCTTTCTCTGTCTCCATTGATGACAAATTGATTTGAATGATAAGCTTCTTCTTCTTGTTGTTGAAGCAAAATGAAAACAAAAGGTTTGAATTGAGAGAGAGAGAGAGGGAATAGAGAGAGAAGGATGGTAAGATGGCAAAGGAAAGCGGAAAAGGAGGAGGAGTGTTCGTTTTTCAATTTTCTTGATTTCCGTTATTTTGTTATTTTTATTATTTTTCTGGGTATTTTTTATTTATTTTTATTTTATTTTATTTTTGGGGGGTTGAGATTGAAATGGTCGTGTGGGGCAGTTATGGTTGGATGGGAGAGGAGTCCGTTGGATCTATTTGGTTGGGAGTGGTTGAGGTTTAACGTTTGACGGATTCGGGGACATTGTTTATGCTTCCCACCCACATTTCCACCGCACCAACTTGTTTTCGAAAGAATAATATTAAGAACAATATTAAGGCCAAGTTTAGGAAGGTTAAAAAAGTATATTTTTTGTCTTTTTGAATTAAAAAATTGAGATTGAAAATATGGATGTTTGGGTTAATTTTTTGACTTTTTATTGAAAAATGTGTAATAAAAAATTGTAAAAATTGATTTGTAGGAAAAAATTTGAATTGAGAGTTGTATTGGGAGTTGTGCAGCCGTAATTGTTGACTTTTGGTGAATAGTGTTAACTTTTTAACTTTTTGAGTAACTTTTTGACTTTTTGGCTTTTTTGGAAGTACCCAAACTTGCCCTAAGAATCATAAAAAAATGTATTATGAAAATTTTTTATCTATTGATTAGTGTATAATATTTTATTATGTATGTAATCTAACGATAAATAATATTTCATCATCATTTTCATAATTCTTAACATTATTCTTTTCAAAATTCTCTATTACTTGTTAGCTTGTTTTGTGACGGCAAAGCAGTGCGCACTCTCCTCCCTTGAAACAATTTTTTAATTAGGTATATAAATGTCATTCACAAAAATAAAATAAAAAATAAAAATTCATTTTATCCTTAAAAAATGAAGAGGAGATTTTTAATGTATTGTAGAAATGGAATTTATGTTCCAAGAAATTAACAATGAGATATAATTTTCAGCAATTTATTTTTGGACGAGTCTATAAAATATACTCACTCTTTAAACTCGATAATAATATGACAATCAATTAAAATATTTAATACAATTCTTTTATTCATATTTTTTTTCAATCATTAACTAATTTTCTCTATACTGGATGTAGAAAGTGGGTTTATATATTATTTTTCTTTATTTTTTACTTTTATGCTCAATTAATTTTGAAGGAAATAGATTTTAACAAAAAATGATACTCTTTTCAAAAAATATTTTTCATAGCATGCTTGTCTATATTTTGTTACAAACGTGAAACTTATGTCTAGTGATTGTGTTAGTGGTTGTGGCTGCGGTAAATATGGTAATTTTTTTTTTGGGTCTCGTTCTGCCTGATCTCGCTCTAATTTTATTTATAAATATATATATAATATATAATTTAATTTTTTAATATAATCAAATTAAAATATTAAAATATTATAGTTAACATTTATTTTTACTCATTTATTTATTAATTTACATATTTTTGAATCTCATTATTATCTTTACTTTTTATTATTTTTAACGTTATAAAATTAACCTCCAACCCTACCTTAACTACTTTCTTAATTTGCTCCACCCCCAATATATAATACAGGATAAGATGAGGGACTTCCGCCCCAAACCCACCCTGTTATCATCCTAGTTGGCAGTGGTGTTGTGGGTATATGTGATGGTGACCATAGTATTATGGTCGTATTGGTAAAACTTTGGCCTAAAAATATTTTTCACCTCAATTAAATATTTTTGTTGTCAATTATAGAAAATATTTATGTTGACTTTTATTTGTTGTCATACCAAATATTTTAAAATGCAAAAAATATTTTATGTGAAAACAAACTTGTGTTAATTTGTTACACTTCCTTTAGTTTGTCACGCTTTTGTTTATAGAAGTAATAACAACTACATTATTTAAACAATACTATCAAAAGGAAAAAGATCCGGACCCCTTTTTTCCCTTACTCCTTGACCACCTCTCTCTCTCATTGGTTAGATTTTTTATTTTTTTTTCCTTCTCCTCCAATCACCACCCGCCACCACGTGTGGGGGTTGTGAGGTTGTGATTAAAGGGGTCTCTATCATGACTCATTCCTATTATAGGGTAAAACGGCACTCTTGTCAAAATATAACAATAACTAAGTTATTTACCTATAAAGTCATTGAATATTATTTTACTTTGGTTTCAACAACTCTATATATCATTTTGGATAAAAATTACCACTATGTTTGATTTGTTTTTAAAATTTCTAAAAAAATTTAAATTAATTTAATTGAATTTTTTTTTATCGTTTTCATATAATTTTATCTTGTTGGAAAGTATAAATAATTTGTAAAAAATTAGAAATATATTTTTAGTATTTATTTTTGTCAAATTAATTTAAAAGTTTTCATAAAAAATTCAAAAATAGTGTTTTGTTTTTTGTTTTTAATAAAAAAAATCAAACCAAATAGATATTTTTACACCATTTTGGATAAGAATCATGATTGGTAACTCGAATTTCATCTTGTCCCAAACAGATCGAATTTTAGCTTGTCAGTCGATCGGCCGATCATCCGGCAAGAAAGCTAACAACGGTCAACAAAGTAACAATCGCGGTAAACAAGTGTTACACTGGTCGTTCGGGTGATTGCCTGAACAGTCGTCCGGATGATTGACCAGCAAGTACAAATTCAGGCCATTCAGACAAGCTAAATTTGAGTTACCAATCTTTATGATTTGGATAAATGTAGTATATAAATTGTATTTGTACATTATTTTCTTTACATTGTTGTTATTTCAAAATTAAGTAAATTATGTCAGAATTTCTTCAATTTTGTAAATTTTTTTAATTAAGTCCTTGAATTTATATTTCATTCTAGTAGACCGTTTAAATTTTCAAATTAATTCAATTTAAAGTTAGACAGCTTTATTGAATGAAAATTTTATTTTCAAGATTAATGATAAATTTTTTAGTCGGTTTAGTGAATTTGCCAAGAATAACGGTGGTGGGAGAGTTTTTGTTATTGACATTGTTATTTTAATTTGAAAGTTGGATTTATTGTTTAAATTTAATAAAGTGATAATAAATTAAAATATTTAATTATCTGTCTCTCATTTTTTATAATTATGAATCAATCATCTATGTAATACATAGTACTTAGTGTAAAAAGTAAAATTTTAAAGTCTTTTTTGACATGTAGATTAAAAGTTAATTTTTGATTTTTTTTTGAGTAATATCACTTCTCTATTTTTTATACTTTTTCAAAACAAGTTAAAATTTTAACCTAATTTCCAAAATAGATATATATCAATTTTTTATTTTTATTTTTTTGTTACCCTTACCCACACAAGGCATACCTTCGAAAAAACAGGGAATAATAATGCCGAAACCAAGGGGTGTTTCCGGAATTAAAAGGAACAGTCATTCAGCACCATACGGAACCGAAGCTAAGCAGAAATGTGTACATTGAATTTTTTTTATTTTTAAAAGATGCGTATATATAATATTATGAGTGGTAATGATTATCTATTATAATTGTTTTAATTTAAAATATAATTATAATTAAAATAATATTTTATTAAATACGTATATAGAGATAATTAGACGTGTGAAAATAAAGGGTCTGTTTGAAACGATTCTGAAAATTGTTTTCTACGATTGAATTCGCATATGGTGTTTGGATAGAGTTGTGGAATTAATTTTCTACAACTCTACAGAAAACTCTGTCAAACAGAGCGCGATTTTCAATTTTTTTTTCGAAATTTGGCCTAACCGGTCGTCCAGCCGGTTGACCCGCCGGTTGACCGGAACAGTGATTTTTTTTTTTTTTTTTGCAATTTTATATTCGAAAAAATAATTTTCCGAAATTAAATTTTTTTTTATGTGTTTTAATAAAATTTTGAGTTGTATGTTAGTTTATGAGTTGTAAGTTTTTGTATCAAATATTAAATATCATATCAAAAATTTCTCACTCAATTCAAAACTCTTTTCAAAAATCTTTTCAAAACTCTTTCACCAAACAAATTTTTCACATTTAAATCATAATTCTAAACTTCACAAATTCAAAATACAAACTCAAAATACAACTCATGCTTTGAAATTATAATTATAAACTCTACCCAAAATTTTCCGAAACCGAAGCTAAGCCAACCTTGTGAAAAAGGCAGCAACAGTTTATTTTATCTTGTCTTCTCTCTTAAAAAAGTACCAAACGAAACGAACAATCTCTGAGCTTTTTCTCTATCGATCAAATTCATTCATTCGTCACAGCCCCCACCCCACTGTTGCCCTTGCCTCACTTCACTAGGAACATCACTTCCTCTTCTTTCGCTTCCAATCAACCGCCGAACCAACTCCAAATACAATTCCAAACACTAGTACCACAATACAACCCATTGAAACCGTTGAAGATAAATCTAATTTCTCTCCGTTCATGAAGAAATCGAGCCTTCCCTGCCTGCATTTTTCTTGAAAAGGTTCCTTCTTTGCTTTGTTTTTGTTCTTCAAGTTATCGTGGGTGGGGGGGTTTAATTGTTAGGTTTTACCCTTAACCCTTTGTTTTGTTCCTCTTCTTGCAATTCGAATTAGGGTTTTCACTTCAATGGACTGTTAATTCGCACCTGTATTATTAGAGCTTTTGTTGTTATTATATTTTTGCTGCTGAGAATGTGGAGTTTCTAAGTCCTATTAGGAATTATTGACAGTGCATGCAAGACATGAAGATCCTTTTCTTTGCTTTATATGCATTTTTCTTGGCCAACAAACAGTCTAGGTAGTCTCTTTCTAAGAACGGGTAATTTTGGTAGCGAAGGCGTAATTCTATTTCCACACACCAGGTACTCTCAGTGCACACAATCTTTTTATTTTTTTAATGATAATTTTGTCCTAGAATAAAATTATCAAAATAACCTTATCTTTTTCATCCAAAACCTAATTCTAAGCCCTAATCCTTCACCATTCCCAGGCGGTGTAGACATGAGAGTTGTAGTGCCTAGGGTTTAAAATAAATAATGGGTAGCAAAAGTAGATGCTGGGGAGTAAATGTATTGATAATGGCGGCCGACGATGATAGAAGGGTGAGAGTGGCGGTGGAGGTACAAGTTTCCAGCGGCGGAGGTGGTGGTTAGGGATTAGGGGGTTAGGATTAGGGTTTGAATGTTGAAGAAGATGAGGGTATTTTTGGCAGGGGTAGGATGTGTATGAGCACCCAAACATAAGAAAATTATGCTCACACCCTAAACCCCAACAAAATTATCCAACAAAAATCATTTTTTATTTATTTATAGGAAACTTACTGTTATGGAAAGATTGTGAAATTCAACAGTTATGGAAAGATTGTGAAATTCACACATTCAAAGTCATTAAACCTCCCAATTTATGTATGCGTTTTAGTTCCATCAATCATGTACTGTCCCAAAGGGTCTCGCGATGGCGTGAACTTCAAAATGAAGTTGTGCAACAATTTTTGAAATTCGAACATTGTTCATAAAATCACATTTTTGCAGGTGCAATTATTTTAATATTCTTTTAGTGGAAGGGAAAAGAAGGGGGAAAAATCACACTACACACATTTGGAATTGCTCCAGTTTTTGGGATTTTTAATCCTTCATTCGATTACTAAAAAACTCTCATGTCCTGTTATTTATCACCAAAAAAAAAAAAACTTTCATGTCCCATAAGGGGAGTTATAACTCATCTTTCTCAATCTATATCTTGGCATTTATTATATCAATATGAACACATTGCGTGTGCTGGAGTCTAGTGTGTATATAGATATATATTTTCCTTCAATTCTCGTGGAGGCCTTATCACATGATTTCATTGTACTTACTTTTGTTAATACTAGTTTCATTAATGATTTGTGTTTAATTTTGTGAAATTGTGGTCCGTGGATTTATAGACTTGATTAACTGCATTAGAGAATTGATGCATTGACTGAGGGATGGTGTTTTTGTTTTGGATTATCTTACTAATGCAGTTGTTTCATGTGAACTTAAATGAAGCATATTTAGTATGTTTCTCTTACGAGTCTATTTGTGACTGGGTTTATTTTTATTTATTAATTACAGCATCTGTTGCTACTCAAACTCATCCTGTCACATAATATGAATCCTTGATTATCAGATTCTTAATGGTGACTAAGCTACGTTCTAATTCTGACTGTATGCCTTTTTATTGATATATTTATTTTAACCCTTCAACTTGAAGAATCTAAATGTTGATGCATGCTTTCATTCTCGTGGATGCTGTGCAAATTGATTTTCTGTTCATCATGAATGTAAATTGGTCAACATTTTTCACTCTCTAATTTTGATGACCACATTGCGGGATGCAAAACTTGGGTTACAACATTCATGCTACAACATTGGATGTTTATCAAGTTAGATTGCTAAACTCAAGGAGTGCAGTAGCTAAAAAATTAAAAATTAAAAAATCAAGGAGTGCAAGAGGCTTCATCCATTTTTTTGGGCACATCTTGTGCTTAATTTCTGCAAGATGTCTAGTAATTAGGACATTCTTGGCTTTAGCACCTATCACACACAACGAAGATTTGCTTAGAAAAATAAATAGATATAGTATTCCTGTTCTTTCCCCATCTCACTCCCTATTGAGCACATGTTCACATTCATACATTAAATTTCAGTTGTTATTCTTTTTGATGTTGTGATAGTTGTTTGATTAATTGGGACCCCCACAAGTGGATGGTGAGATTGGTCTCCCGGATTAGTCAGTCCAATACTGACTAAATTTTTTTTTTTTGGTGCCTTAATGTCATGGAAAAATCAGTTGCCCATCTCATCTTGCTATAGTAGACCTATAGTCTTCTTGCACGTTCTTTTACCCAATTAATCACATAATAATTGCTGCTTTGTGCAAAAATATTGCTTCTGTTCCTATTATCTGCTTCCTTTTACTCACGAAGGGCTGTGATCCTCATTGAGAGAACATGATGTTCACAATCGCTTATTGCTATCATTCCCAATTTACGTTGATTACTCAAAGAATATCTGTTGATGTTCTCATAGGGTGGTTCTGAGAATGATTTGTGTACACTTTTGGTAAATCTTCACACTTCTCTGTGGTGGTTTGTAATGAATAGATTTTAAATTTTTATAGGGAAATTCTAAAAGGCACCTATATATTAATTAAACTGAGTGCGAAAGAGAGGGGATAGGGAGGAGAGAGTTTATACATATTATTACTACTTGAACAAAATAATGGGGGTGTTTTGGTACAGTAAATTTAGGGTTATTTTTTAGTGTGAAGCACAGCACAAATTTTGCTTGTGTAAGGAACTTTCCCTGTTTTTGGTTCTGTTTGATACAATAGGTAACTTAATTTTCAAATACCTTTGATATATTGTGTTTTATGTCATCTTTGTATCTTACAAGGTAGTTAATCCATTTTGATTTTGTTCTGTACGTTTTCTTGTAAAGGTTGCTTCTTGTTCAGAAGTCTGCCTTTTGTTCTATTGTGTGGGCAGACTTTTGTCACAAACAATGGGGAGCACATTTAATCCGCAGATTCTGATGGAAAAGCTGGCCAAGCTCAACAGTTCACAGCAGAGCATTGAGAGTATCCTCTCGTCTATACGATATTTTTCTCTCTATTTAGTTTTTTGTTTTTGTTTGTGATAGTCATTGGTTATTTTCACCTGTATTGGGGATTCATTTTCTATTTCCATATTTGAAGTGATATTTTGTTTCATTGCTTCCAACATTATTCATTGCTTTTAAATTGAGGTTTAGCTTTGTTATTGAATTCCCCCAAATCTCTTAGACCAAAACCTTTTTTTGGGTTTATGCTATCTTCTTTGAAGTTACACCTAATTCTTTGTATTTCAAATAAAATTTTAGTGTTTTTTTTTTTTTTGATGAAATATTCCAGCATTTTCATTTAGAATTCCCCCCTCCCCCCTTTTGATAATATTTTCCACTGTTGTGATAACCAACTGGGGGTAGCCCAGTTAACCAGATTTGCAGATTCCCTACGTCTCATTGGAGGTCAAGGGTTCAAGTTTTACCACAGGAAAGCCTCCTCCCTCCCTCAGGTTATGGCCTCCGATGTACCCAAAAAATGATTTCATTTTGATAATCTGGAACAGTACATGTAACTTGTGATTTTGTTATTTCATCCTGTGCTTTTGCTCCAGTTACCAATCTTTCTCATTAATTGGCTGTTCCAAATTCTCCTGTATGTGTTGCCTACTGTATTCTGGATGTATTTTAGGAGTTGTTTGGGATGTCCTAAATAAGTGTACTTTTTGTCTTTTTGGACTAAAAAGTTGAGGGAAAAAAATATGGATATTTGGGTTAACTTTTTGACTTTTTATGGAAAAATGTGTAATAAAAAATTGTAAAAATTGGTTTGTAGAGGAAAATTAGAATTGGGAGTTGTGCAGCCGTAATTGTTGACTTTTGGTGAATAGTGTTAACTTTTTAACTTTTTGAGTAACTTTTTGACTTTTTTTGAATATCCCAAACTTGGCCTTAATCACTATTTTTACATTTGTCATAGTCTTATTGTTCATTATTGGTACATGCTCCAGAGATGCTATCCTTAATGCAATTAAGCTTTATCACATTGGTGTATTTTCCATATGAATAAGGCAAAACAAGTTGTTGAAACATGGGATAGACAATTCCATTGCTCCCCACGTGAGCAAAGATTGGCTTTTCTATATCTTGCGAACGATATTCTGCAGAATAGTAGGCGAAAGGGGTCAGAGTTTGTTGGTGAGTTTTGGAAGTTTCTTCCAGATGCACTCCGTGACGTAATCGACAATGGGGATGAGTTTGGAAGAAATGCTGCACTACGACTGGTATTTTTCTCTAGCTCACCTGCTTCTTGTTATGCCCATACGGTTGGTTTTAATTATATAAATTGTTAAAGGGGATGTAAGTTCTTTTGGACTTCCAAAACCCTTTACCATGTAAATAAATATTGACATTGAACTTGTTAGATTGAAAGGCTTATTAAGGTGGAATTTCATGGAAAGAAGAATATGATACAAAAAGTATAGGCAAATAAGCAAAACTTCCATAAATTTATGAAGGAAATTGGGGGAAGCCGTGGATGATCCAGTCCTACTACCTTAATTTACTGTGATCTGATTTGGCAAGTGTTTTTCTCATAATTTTCTCTTAAGTGGCAGTAATTAGTAAGATTGAACGGACGCACTTCTGACTTTCTGATTTGTTGTGGAGACTGTCTTCAATAAATTTCCATGCCATGTATGATTCTATTATTATAACTGAAAACACTTGTGTATTACATGTTGTTAGTGTTGAAGAAAATTCTAATATTTTGGAGTCCAATTCTGTTTGTGTGGAGAATATGCACTTCTATAATTTTATTTATTATTCATGTGACATGGTGTTATTCTCAAGACTAGAATAATGACAGTTGGGCAGAGTAGCTTTTATAAGGGCTTATCGTTATCTCTCTACTAGAAGAGAGACGGGCAACGGGACATTTTAACATTTTTAGAGTGAGAAAATGGCCAGTATGCATGTATTTTCAAGTATTTGGTTTCCTGTACGCTTATATAACTACTTTACCACAATTTCCTTTGTCCATTGCAATTCCTGTTCACATACTTATCAATATCTGCAATTGAGAATCAGCCTGCCCCTCATTTATGCATATATATACATGTTTAGTGCATTCAGTTTGCTTAATTTGGTCTTGGTTCACTCCAGTCTACATTATGTATTGCTTAGCATTTTCTAACCAAGAAGTAGTTTCTGATTTTTGTTTGGACCATTTTCTCTGGTTGACAGTTGAAATGGCAAATGTTCATTTTTGGTACCATCCATTTAATTTAGTTTGCAACGCTTTTTTGACCCTTTTTTTTTTTTTTCTCAACTTAAATCTGTTAATATTTCATGATTGATATGCTGGGAGTTGCATTTTTTGTATTTGGCATGTAAATGTTAACGTTTGTTCATTATGAAAGTCGGTAGAGAGAGAGAGAGAGAGAGGATGCGCATATCAAACATTTCAATTGGTTTTTCTGAAACTTGGAGTGAATTATTGCTTACGTTGCATTCCTGTGCCTTACACATCCAGATCAGCATTTGGGAGGAAAGAAAGGTTTTTGGCTCTCGAGGACAGATTCTTAAGGAGGAGCTTGTGGGAAGGCACCTGGAAAATAATAATAGAAATGGGAAGCATTCAGGGTTCAAACTGGTGTGCAACTTCAATTCTATGGTGAATTGTTTATATGAGTAACTTGTTTTTATACGTAAGTTAAGGATTAATAATATTTTTTATCCTTTTTTTCTAGCTGAGGCATTCTACTGGAAATGCATTGGATAAAATAGTTTCAGTTTATCAAGTTGTTTATGGTGGCCAACTGGATGAAGATGTTATATTGGGCAAATGTAGGAATGCTATCAGCTGCATTGAGAAAGTGGACAAGGAAATTGGGGGTGATTTTAATTCTGGTATGTCCTTCATGATGCTTCTTGATAGAAGTTTAGAATGTAGTTCCATTAAAGTTTCTACTACTTATTGGCTTTTTGGACATTCCTATGTATGTGATAATGTGATATTTATGCATGTTTTAAAGCATTTTTCATTTTCTGTTTTCTTGTAATTTGTTATTTCCTCATTGATTTTGTATCTTTTTGCTGGACATTCCTATCTATGTGATAATGTGATATTTATGCATGCTTTAAAGCATTTTTCACGTTCTGTTTTCTTATAATTTGTTTTTTCCTCATTGATTTTGTATATTTTTTTTGCAGTATTTTTCTGTCTTTTTAATTTTATTTCGTGTGTTTAGAATTTTCTGTGCCCTATGCATATTGTAATTTCAGGACTTGTTATGCATGCAATATTGCTTATATGTAACACAATGCTTGTTTGGAGAGTGTCATTTTATTGTTCTCACACATATTTTTCGAGAAGCTAACACTTGTTATAAGTGCACTATACTGGATCTATTAAAATATGGAATCAACTAGTTGGGCAGTGGTAATTTCACGTGTCTGTCTGTGTTGTTTTATGTATTTTACCTAGAAATTATCTAAGATCCACTACCTTCATAGTTATAGTGGCAGTACTGACATACAGAATAGCAAGTGTAGAAGACATCCTAGATTCAAGACAGAATGTTGTGAAGCTAGAGTTCCAAGTTTTTCTTGTCACCTTACGCATTATAAAGAGCAGTGTCAAAAGGATTAGGAATGTTACATGGACTCTGGTACAGGTGCGTGTCCAAGCATTAAACCTTCATAAACTTAAATCTTAGGATATTGAGATATATATCCAAACTAAGATATGGGTACGGGAACTCATTATGGACACTTATATATGTTACATATTATATAACATTATTATGTAGAAATGTACTTAAAATTAAATAGAATTTAGAGAAAATATAGAATTTCTTTTTCTCATCTATGTTGGAGACTATAAATGTGTCTTTTCTATCAAATTTGAGTTTCTTATTTTTCAAACATAGCAAAAAGTTGAAGATCCAACTGTCCAAATCGGGTATGGATGTCGGACACATATTCCACACCCTTACGGTCCATTTGTTTTAGGTTATAGGGGATGGGATTGGATTGGGATGGATATGGGGTCAACTAATATTGTGTTTGTTTGCAAAAAGGCGAAGGGGATTCACTATACCTTGGGACTATGATATGCCTCCGTGGATGGGATTAGTAGTTTCCCATGGGAGATGGTATTAGAAAAACAATCTTTTGGGATTAGAGGGGGATTTTCTATTTTGCCCTTTATTATCCTACCTAATTTATTTACTCTACTTGATTAGTATGGTCTTTTCTCTATGACTTTTTTTTAATTATTCCACCATTTTTTACTCTACCATTTTTTATATCAAAATAATTTAATATAAAAATAATTTTTAATATAAATATATATTAGTATAATAATATTTATACCAAAAAAATTATATTAAAAGAATAAAATACTACCAAAAAATACATATATTTAGGGATGGTTTGGGATGTTTTAAGTAAGTGCACTTTTTGATTTTTTGTAAAAATGTGTAAAAAAGTAGAGAAAGTGGGTAGAAAAGTAGATAGGAGATGTTGATTGATGTGACCCAAATAAGTGTATATTTGCAAAAAAAATACACTTTTTTAGTGCATGCCAAACACCTACTTATGAAATATAATTTTTAATATTAAAATATGTAATGCATTTATTAGTTGGTATAAGCCCAAATTTGATAGTAGTGGGTATTTGTGAAATTTTATATGATTAATCTCACTCCTATCTCTCAAAACAAACAGGAATTATTGATAGTTCACTGGTTATCAAACAAATGCAATTTTTCTTAGTCTCCTTATTAATAATTCCCTCACTAACAATCCCACCCAACCTACCTCTGAAAACAAATGGGCCCTTACCCTTGTCATATCTGGTGGACACGGATACTTCGGGGAAAATAGAAGAGTCAGAGCAATATGTTACTATTGTTGTCAATATTTTTTTTTTTATTAACGGAAGAGCTATGTGTCACTTTAAAGTTGTTTTCTGAACTTTCAAAATATGTTTTTGCATAAAAATGAAAACTATGTGAAAACTATTGGTGTTTCTAATTTTTTCAAAAATATGAAAAAACGTAATCATCGAAAATGAAAACAATACCAGAAAGATCTTTACTTTTTGGATATATTTTTTGTTAAAATCAACTAAAGTGGTAAAAGGATCTTTCCACCTTTTTTCTTAAATCAAACCAAATCAAACCAAGTCTTAAGTCCTATTACATGGGGTCGACTGCATGAATCCGTCTTCTGCACTCAACTCTATCTAAGGCCATTTCGTTAGTAAAATTAAGAAGATTCATATCTCTATTTACTACACTAGTTTACATCAATCTAAGTCTACCTCTGTTTCCCTAACACTACCATCTACCGTCACCGTATCGTATCTCTTCACTATCGTCTATGTTGGTTTCCGTTGTATATGATCAAACTATCTGAATCTATTCTCTCTCAACTTATCTTCTATCAGTACTATTCCTACCCATTTTCAAATATACTCATTTCTAACTGTGTTTTTTCTAGTCTTGCCACACATCTACATTAGCATTCACATCTCAGTAACATTCATCTTATCTACATGTTGTTTCTTAGTTGCCCAACATTTCGCCCCATAATAGCCGTTTTATAAAACTTCCCTTTTAGTCTAATGGGTACTTATTTATCGCACAGTACTCCCGATGTACTCCTTCACTTAAGCCACCCCGCTTTAATTCTATGGACCACATCCGCTCTAATCTCCCCAGTCGTTGTGATAATCGATCCTAAATAACAAAAATATTCACTCTTAGGAAGTTCTTGGTTCTCAATCTTCACTCTCTGCTACTTCCATTGTGACTGTTACTAAAATTACACTCCATATACTGTGTTTTAGTTCTGCTTATCCTAAATCCTTTAGATTCAAGTGCTTTTCTCCAAATCTCCAACTTAGTGTTAACTCCTTCTCTAGTCTCGTCCACTAACACGAAAGCATCTGCAAAAAGTATACACCATGGCATATCATCCTAAGCCCCGGTTTGGTTTTCCTCTTGGGCTAAAAATTCACAAAAGGACAAAAAAAAGTCAATAAAGCCAAAAAGTCAAAAATCACAATAGGATAAAAAAAAAAAATTTGTCATTTCAAAGCCAAAAAGCCAAACAAGAAAGCCAAACAAACAAAAAAGTCCCATGCTAAAAAAGTCAAAAAAGCCTACTAAAAAAGTCATTGTCAAACGACTCCTAAGTATTGCGCGTCAACTCATCCATAACTTAAGCGAAAAGATAAGGACTTAAGGTTAATCTTTGGTGTAACCCTACAGTAATTGAAAATTTACTCGTCTCTCTAGTAGGTGATTTAATAGTGGTCACCACCACACCTTCATACATATCTCTAACCACATCAATATAACCTTTTGTCACTCTTTTCTTCTCTAACACCCACCAGATTATATCCCGAGACACTATCATATGCTTTCTTAAGATCGATAAAAACCATAGGAATGTCTCTTTCCTTTTCTCTCTATACTTTTCTTGTCACTTTGTTGATTGGTGCCTAAATGATACGGGGGCAATGGGAACATTTTTATGGTCTTTTGGTCTGTATTGAATTCCCCAAGTTTTGTTTCTTGAAGCCATGTTGAGGTTTGGCAGAAGATGGGGGTTTCTGGGCCAGTTCAGTATCATTCTAAGTTTGTTTTCCTAAATTTGGTTCCCTTAGCTAAATCCTGTTGCATCTCTCTGTCTGTGTCTGTCTCTGATCATCATCATTATCATCATCATCATCATCATTTGAGCAGGGAAACCCAATGGCTCTCGTGTTGTGGAGGAGCTTCAAGGGCAGCATGCTATATTGAGAGACTGTATTGAACAACTAACAGTAGTTGAATCATCAAGAGCAAATCTTGTGTCTCATCTGAGGGAGGCTCTTCAGGAGCAGGTTGGATGCCAAGCATATCTTTGAAACTATTTGTTAACTTCTTTTACGTTATCTTTCTTTTTTTCTCTCTTTATCTTTTGTGATGGAATGTGTCATGGTTTTGGTAAGCAGGAATTCAAGCTGGATCAAATTCGCAGTCAACTTCAGGTAACTCTGTTGCCTCTTGGATTGGCTCTACTTGTGTGGATTATAATTTTAGTTTTGTGGTTTTCTTCTTGGTTTTTGACATTCAAATCTGCTTTAGATGCACATGATGTTATTTTTGTCTTCACCACAAATAGTTGAAACCAGGTCAAACTTATAATTGATGTGCAATGGCCTTAGGCTTATAAGGTCCATTAGATGCGCACGAGGTATTATTAGTATGGGGACTCATTAAGGACAGATATTTACTGTGGACGAAAATCACATCAAGTGTAAGGGGGCCATGCCTGCCCTTGCCCTACCTTCAACCTTCTGGTTTATGTCCTTATTGGTTGTTTTGAAAATGAGTATTTGAGAAAGTTTACTATGTAATTAAATCTAAGTAGGTAAATGAGGATGTGCATCTTGACATTTTGAAAACTTTGAGACTCTGAATAACACGTTCAAGTGAATCTAGTGGATGCCATATGAACTGCTGTTGCATATAAGATGGTGTGATGTGCACTTATGGAAAGATGCTTTTCTCTTTGAGCCATTGGTGGAAGGTTTACTTTAGGTCAGGTGCAGAACTTGCTGGGTGTTAAGGAGTGGTGGGAGGCTGAAAGGATGCGTATAGTTTAAGAAAATATGAATCTCAAGTTCTATATTATGATGCTAGATCCTTATTCCTGCCATAATCCCAAAAGTCGAAGAGCTGAAGGATATTTGTAAATAACATGACCCTGTTAAGTCTTGCAGGGTTCTGGAGTGTTCCTCTGTCAATTTTTTACAGGACTAATATTTGATAGTATTATCTAGGGGGCCACACACAGCTTATCTACCCTATTATTCTTTAATTCTTGTCCTTTTCAGAGCTTCTTGTTTAAAATGCTAGACCTTCTATTCAGCAAAGCATCAGGACAAATACTAGTTGCTTTGATGGAGACGGGCATTTATTCGTTCATACCTAGTCTAACTATATATGCCCTCCCTTCAATGTTGTTGTTCAGGCAGCTCAGTCCCAGTCAGAACAGGCAGGTAATTTGTGCAGACAGCTACTGAACAACAATGCACAGTTGCTAGCTGAGCAGAGTATGAAGGAAACCGATACCTCCAAAGCGCCTCACAGTTTTATAATGGGAAGCAGAGAACAATCGGCTCCTGTAATGTATACACGGACATTACCTTTTTCTGAAAAATCTGGAGAAGACCCCAAAGCCACAGCGGCTGCAGTGGCTGCAAAGCTTACTGCATCAACATCCTCAGCTCAGATGCTGAGTTACGTCCTCTCTTCTCTGGCATCAGAGGGTGTCATTGGCAATACAATGAAAGAATCATCCAGTGATTTTCCTTCGGAAAAGAGAACAAAACTTGAGAATGACCACCCCGCTTACATACCATCTCAGAATTCTCAACCACCGGTTCCGCCTTATCCGCATCCAGACTCACTGCAGCACGGTGTCCCAATCACCACACAAGAATTGACTGCAAATGAACAACCACCTCCTCCGTCATCGCCACCACCATTGCCGCCATTACCACCTATGCAGCCATATCCATTGCCTCATTTCATGCAGACCACACCGTATGGTTATGGCGTAACACAACAGCAGCCACTGCCCATGCCTGGCTATCCATTTACAGCTCCTCCAACAAATCCATACCAGAGTTTTCAAGGATCAGAAGGCGGTTTTTATAGCCAGCCATCGTCCTTGCCAATGGCACCAATCTCACGGCAGTAGAATTACCCAGTCTTGTCGGTTGATTGAAAAGAGTAGGGTCTAGGGTGGTTGACTTTAGGGCATTAGAGAGTGTATGGGGGCTTGTTACCCTGGAAGTCTGAAGCCTTCCTTTTAAATTGTGCCTTTTTATTACCCATATAAGTAGATTTTGCACAGGGTAAGTAGATGTGTTTGTATTCTTATTTTTCCAGTGAGTTTTTAAATTTATGGAGTTTGAATAATTCCATTTGAGTAGCTGAATTGAATATAACAAATTTTGAACTGTGTCGATTGGTGAATCTATCATTTATCCATGGATGTGGGACTATTTTGAATAAAGATTAATGTTGGACTCGTGCACATGCAATGTTCTGGACCTAGCTAGTTTTCTCCCTCCTGGTCCAGTAAGATTGCCTTGTAAGATGGCAACTTTTTTTTTTTTTTCATAGATAGAATGTTAGTATATTAGTAAAGTTAAGTTATAATTTAAACGAGTCGTCGTTGATCCATCAATTTGATCTCCAGATCTTCCACTTACTGCACCTTAAGGTGCTGCTACATGCTACTTGGCTACAGGGGCCTTGGCTTTCAAAAGTATTTCAAAAAGCTCAATTCGTTCATATTGATTTCTCCAAATATAAAAATTATATAAATGCACTTTTTTGGCAGGTGGTCTGGAGGGAGTCTATAGCGGTGAAAGTGACACGTCTATATTTATGGGGGCATACAACATTAGGTCGAAAGATTAATCTTTTTTGATGATAAAGATATGCCGAAAAAGTCGCTGATAGTGACGGACAGTGGCTAGTGGTGGTAAGCTAAACAAATAGATAACATTTGGATAGGTAGGAAAGATTTGGACATATACATTTAGGCATTGTTTGGGAAGACTAAATAAATCTATACTTTTTATCTTTTTTGAGTTACATTAATCAACATCTCCTCTTACTTTTTTACACATCTTTTTATAAAAAGTCAAAAAGTACACTTATTTAGAACATCCCAAACAACCCAAAAATTAAAAAATGAATGTGTGGCTTGATAGAGGTGTGAATTTGGCACAGTCTAACCCACTTAGGCCTGGGTTCAGGTCCGCCCATGTTGGGCCTTGCGGGCTCCTGCCAAAATTCGGGTCAGTTTGACCCACGAGCCAAAAAAATAGACCCAGACCCATAGGGTATTCGGGCCTTAGGCGAGCTAGGCTTGGTTTGAATATTTTTTTCACCAAATTTTTTTTCCCACAAAAAATGACACTGGGCCTAGGGCCAAGTTTTGAGTGGGCCTTGAGCAGGCCGATAGGTTCGGCTAAGCTTTAAAATTGTGGCCCAGGCTCAGGGTCCCAGCCTGGGCTTGGGCCCGGGCCTAATTGGACTAGGGCCACCCCGGACCGCGGCCAGACTTTGAACCACTCACGGATCGCGAATTATTTTTACACTCCTATGACTTGAGTACCCAAGCCTTTTAGGTATTTTTATATCACAAAAAAGGAAAAAAGTACAAAATAAAAAATGCATTATAAAAAAACTACAAACGGTCCTATTTTAATTTTTGCCATGAGTTTCAAATAAGTTTTAAGTTGTTTTGCTAATCTTCAGATGTTAGGGTGAAAAAATCTCATTAATTCCTATATGTTACTTGTGGGGATATATTTCTGAGTACCAACACGTGACAAGGTGACGCCGATGTGTCAGCCGAGGTGCCACATGTCCTGGTCATTATGCCGAGGTTATCTCCGAAGATATCGGAATCCGAGATAAACGGATAAGGAACAAAAGTCCTAGAATAAAGAGGAGATTTAGCCAAGATAAGGATAAAGCTCTTAGAGAGTTTATCTTTATCTCTTGAGGAGTCCAAAGTAAGTACTGAATTGGAGTCCATAGAAGTGAGGCTTCTAGTGGGACTAGGATTAAGTAAACTATAAAAGAGAGGCACCCTTGTGGGTCTAAGGTATGCAATTTATGCTTTAAGTAGTGAGTTTAGCACTTGATTATTTTTTAGAGATATACTGACTTGATCATCGGAGTGCCGCCGGGTGGAAGAGCCACCGCCGGAGCCTTTTTTTTCTGTTACAGGTTACAGAAGCCATCTATTCTGCCAGTGCTCTCTAGTTGATTACTAAGCGGGCAGTGTGATCAGAAAATTACTCACGCAATTTGGCGCCGTCTGTGGGAAAAAAAGAAGAATAGATGGCCAGTAACGCACAGAAGGAAAACATTGGGGACAACGCTCCTACTGGGAGTGGCAGACCAATCGACCTTGATATTGAAGGAGACAATCACAATGCAGAAACCCGTGACCAGGGCCACGGAGACAACGACGTCGGCCAGGAGGGCGACACTTCGAAGAAGACAAACCAAAGCAAGTACTATAACAAAGATAACTGTCACGACCCCATTCCGTCCCTAGTAGAATGGTGCCGTGATGACCAGTAATCCGAGATTACCGAAGGCTAACTTTCAAAATTCACACACAATCAGAGTATTACATATGGGGCTAACAAGTGCGGAAGTAATGATTTACAATACAAGTGGTCCATAAGAGCAGTGCATAGATCAAATGAAATGGCATACATCTTTAACATGGTCTAACAACTTGAATACAAATAAAATAAGGTACATGTTACATCTTGATCAAAAGGCTTCTCAAGCCGACATATGCAAAATATATGAAATATAAAATCAAGAAGCATAATCTTCAAGATGCCGACATCCTCACTGCTGACATAACGTACATACAAAACACACATCTCGGCGTAGCCGACTGCTTGCTTGCTACCTACATATATATATATATATATAGGGAAGGTGAGCTTGGATACTCAGTGATTGGTATAAATAATAAAAGGGTTAAATGAATGATTATCGAGATCTTTGCAAAACATACATATCATAGCTTGTACAAAACATGGGATGAATCTAGTTCATCAATCTTGATCTTACAAAACTTACTTACTTATTTTGGATGTTAATAACATCTATATAATACAAGGGATGACATTAATAAGGTTGTGCTACAAATGCTTATAGTCCCCTAGCACGTACGGATTTTCCAAGAATGTGCTACAAGTGCTTATAGTCCCCTAGCACGTACGGATTTTCCAAAAATGTGCTACAAGTGTTTATAGTCCCCTAGCACGTACGGACTTCCTGAGAGTGTCACCCAAAACAAAACTTACTTGATACATAAAAATAGGGATAATCATTCATGCTTAACAAATACTTTCAAAACAAAGCAAAGCAAAGCCTTTATCAAAACGTGTAACATAGCTTTATTAAAGATACCACTCACATAGCTCTTTGGACGTCGGGATCAAGTCCTACAAACACATGGCAAAGTCCACTGAACGTACTTCTCAAACCAAGTCTTACATGCATGCAAATGATCTCAGGAAAACATGCTGGAAGTCAAAACACTGTTTTACATGTCAAGAAGACATGCTGGGTACCAACCAGGTCTTTGCCGAGGTCCCACACCTCTTGGCCGAGGTGTGGTTACTTAGGCTTCGGCGTGCGGCTGCATGCCAAGGTGCGCATAAGACAAACTAAAGGTGTAAGTGATCATGCAAGGTAGGCCAAGGTGAGATACGATGCTTGGCCTAAGTGTGAGGTCTAGGTAAGAGTGATCTCGACGACTACACTTAAGGAAGTGAGGTCTGGAGATCTGGGTTTCCATCCGTAAAGAACATGAAGAACACAAATGTTAAAATCATAACTTCTTTATTACAAGGTCTGTGATTTCATGCTATGAGTTCGAAAACATGGACCTGGTACCCATACTTGAAGATCATATGAAAACAAACACGAAAACATGCATCTTGATACAAACTTTCGGATCAAATCATGACTTTTCTTGAAGAACACATGAATACTATTTTCTCTTTCTAAAACTGAACTCCAAAGCAATGCATGGCTTACAAATCATATTCAATCATGTAACGCAATAACATGAACATAAAGAACAACATGAGCAGATCAGGAATCTAACCTTAGAACACGGATCTAACGATTCGATCTCTAGGAATCAAGCTTAGAAATCTACTCTCCCTCAAGAACTTCTCTCCCTCTTCTAGAGCTTCTCTCTCTTCTTCAAAACAAAGATACAACAAATGATAGGTTTCTCTCTCTGCCAGCTAACTTAACACTCAGCTCGGACACGTGGCAACGCCCTAAAACAAGTCTTACATGCATGCAAATGATCTCGGGAAAACATACTGGAAGTCAAAACACTGTTTTACATGTCAAGAAGACATGCTGGGTACCAACCAGGTCTTTGCCGAGGTCCCACACCTCCTGGCCGAGGTGTGGCTACCTAGGCTTCGGCATGTGGCTGCATGCCGAGGTGCTCACAAGACAGACTAAAGGTGTAAGTGATCATGCAAGGTAGGCCAAGGTGAGATACGATGCTTGGCCTAAGCGTGAGGTCTAGGTAAGAGTGATCTCGGCGACTACACTTAAGGAAGTGAGGTCTGGAGATCTGGGTTTCCATCCGTAAAGAACACAAAGAACACAAATGTTAAAATCATAACTTCTTTATTACAAGGTCTGTGATTTCATGCTATGAGTTCGAAAACATGGACCTGGTACCCATACTTGAAGATCATATGAAAACAAACGCGAAAACATGCATCTTGATACAAACTTTCGGATCAAATCATGACTTTTCTTGAAGAACACATGAATACTATTTTCTCTTTCTAAAACTGAACTCCAAAGCAATGCATGGCTTACAAATCATATTCAATCATGTAACGCAATAACATGAACATAAAGAACAACATGGGCAGATCAGGAATCTAACCTTAGAACACGGATCTAACGGTTTGATCTCTAGGGGTCAAGCTTAGAAATCCACTCTCCCTTAAGATCTCCTCTTCCTCTCCTAGAGCTTCTCTTTCCTCTTCAAAAACAAGGATATAACAAATGATAGGTTTCTCTCTTTGCCGGCTGATTTAACACTCAGCTCGGACACGTGGCAACGGCTGGTTGGTTCTCCTCAAAAGGTGATAGATTGACAAGACATGTGTAAGACAAAGCGTATCTAACAAGCTACTCGTCAAGGCACTCCGGCAAGTGATGACATCGGCTAAGGACAAAGCTTCGGCAACTAAGGTGGCAATGGCCTCGATTAGGAAGGACAACACTTGACTAAGCTGTGCCACACCTTGGCCTAGATGTGCCACACCTCGGCCTAGATGTGCCACACCTCGGCCTAGGTCATACCACTCCAGGACAAGATCACTTGGGTGCATAGGTAACATCTCGGCCTAGATAATACACATCTCGGACTTGGTGATGAACACCTCGTGTAACGCTCTCAGAATAATACAAAATACCCAACAT